TCTTAAGTTTCTCTTAACTTCTGAATGGAGGCCTGGCGAAGAATGTCATTAGCGCTGTTCGAATGTTAGTGTCTCTCGAAATGCAGCAGGAAACCAGAGGAAGACGTTCAAAGTTTGCTCATTGTGCATGGGTTGAAACCTAGTGTTGAGCCATAGAGACAATACCTGATATCAGCAAGAATGGGAACCAGAGCCTAGGCGCTATGCTCGGTGAGACCAGAAAGTACATGCGAAAAAAGACTCGTGGTAGTGGAGATAGCGCACAACTGTATAGCAGAAAGTTAGTCAAGGGATAGACTTCACTTGTCACCCTGACCAGTTGTAGCTTGTTGCTAAGACTGGCAAGACTCACTGACTATGTTGACTACGATGTCAACAAAAGATCTGAGAATGTGCCAAGTCCATGGGACTATGATAGTTACCATGGCAGAGGACTTCGGGAAAGAGCACCCTAACAAGACGACCAAGTTGCGCAAACGAGATCAAACCAATTCTATACAGCGAATGGTTACTGCAACCAAAGCAAATGCCACAAAATTTCGTGCTTCATATCTACACTGGACGTTTGCATCAAGAAAGTATTTTCCGAAAGTTTGAATATTGCGTTGCCAAATGGTAAAGACAAGATGGAGGAAATAATGGTAGAACTCATAAATTTTACTGACTCCTCCTTGAAGAACTGGGAGTACTAGTGAACTACCAGTTGTCACTTATATTGCTAGCTTGGAAGAGGTACCTCCTTTGGCTATGGGTGTGATTGAGGACCTCTTTAGCGAGCTTTCGAAACCTGGCTCCTACTTATTTCTATGGGGGTTCATTTTTCTCCACAGGTCGACGTTGTAATACCTATCTTATTTACTCATCTTGCCTCAGTGATGTCGGCTAAATGAGAACTGTCCTTAAGAGCAGATTACGCAAGATTTTGCTGTCATCATATCACCTTGTTACTAATTTCCCACATAAATATGGGTAATATTGGGATAAATCATGTTATTTGAACGCCGTATTCTGTACAATCTTATGGAAAATGGCAAGCTAAGCGAAATATGTACCTTCGAAAACGAATAAACACTTCCAACTATGACTGGCGGAAATTCAAGAAGGAATTCGAGTATTGCTCTCAGTTTGAGTGACACAGTGATCAGCCTCGTGTGACAGATAATGTCAAGCATGCAACGATGGGAATGGTTCCAAATCGGTTTGGCATCAAGACATCGTAATTTGGTGGCGGAACCTACTCTCGGTCACCCATTATGTCTGCATGTCTGTGTGGTTGTGTTCGCTAACCTGACGTCTGCCCCCATCAACACAAAACAGACGCAGCAACATGTCGATTGATGGATGCAGAATCGTCTTGTTCTACAGCCCAACGTAAACCCAACGACTAGAGCCACATTTAGGTTGTAGTGAATGTAGCAAAGGGGGAGGCTGACCAGCCGATGACGGTCAGTTCGAAGGTGGGTACATTCTTTAAGGCCAGCTCCATGTCATAATCCCGAAAAGCCACAGACCTTTCAGTAATGCACCGAACCAGGTCACGAAGTGCCTTAGCAACAATAAATTCTGAACTTCTCACATCAGCTCGTGATTGAGAGTGACTTGAAATAGCAGGTTTAGCAAAGTTTGACTTTTGACCTGAAGAAATTAGACCTGATAAATCTATGGTCATCACTACCATCATCCGCACACATACAAGGGTGAACAGGGACAGTCTAACTGGCCAACGAAACCCCACTCTAGACTGTAAGCCTTCGAGTGGTAAACACTGCGAACAAATGAATAGTTGTGCGTTAGGTGTGTCAACCCATTTCGTTTAAGGTGATAAGGGGACTGGAAGTTGAATTTTCACATAATCATATGAGTAGACTTTAAGGTCCATTCAATTTCACAGAGCCTTGCTTTCGCACGCGGTGTTCTTATCCAGGGCGGAGGGGCATACGCGAGATGTGAATTTCAAGGAAGGCCAGACATTTTCCAATATCACATTCTTTGGTGGGATTGTCAATTAAGCAAAGTTATATTTGCGATGACAATCAACGACATTACTTATTTTTCGTCCATAAGTAGGTTTTCGAGACTACCAGTGAATCAGTTATGTGAGATGTATTCATCCTATTTCGTTTAAGGTAATAAAGGATTAGTCGTCATTTATACGAGCTTGAATAATGTGAAATTCTATTTAGTACCAGTAGATAATAGAAGCAAAATTCATTTAGCAGTGCTCAAGATTACGCGGCAGCGGAGCAAACGCATCAAATACAGTTATTCAAAGTAAAGCAAACATGATTAAACTTCCCCTGGGTAGGTATTGAAGAAGAGATGAAGGCTAAAATGAAGCTTGAAAGGAGAAGAATTGTGCGTAGCAAGAATACACAAGAGCGCTGATAGCAATTATGAAATTGGCAGATATGTTGGAATGCAAGAATCAACGGTAGAGAATATGTTAAAACATGTAAATCAAATAGAGGAAAAAGGCAAAGCAGCTTCAGCCTGATGAGATTTGAAAGGCACCATGAAAAAAATCCCAACACTTAAAGCATACTACCTAAGTAAAATTTTAGCGCAATTGATGATGATCTCTTTACTGTCTTACTTGACTACTTTTTGAATACCCTCAGATATTATAAAGCATTAAGTTACTACGAAAATTGTAGTATATTAAACGTTTTTATTTAGCTTATTCAATCGGATGAAACCAATTGCATGTTGTAATCACTTGGGATAGTACCATTTAACAAATTATCACAATTTCACACGACGAATTACTCGTATTAATCACTATCTAACCGTGTTTGTCATTGTAATTTAATACGTAATTCTTGACTGAGAACTTAATCCTCTTATGTCATTTAAAGTGACTTTTGCAATCGCAGAAGCATATTTACTATCGGACGGAAAAAGCCTAGGAAGTGCTCTGAGAAGATATTTTCATTGTACATCAGTTTCATATGAGGTTAATTGAATGATTGTGATATTATACACGATGAAGTGAAGAGAAGTGTCGATCTTTAACCTGCCTTTTCCATACAATGCAGTACAAAGACCCGTATTCATTTAGACTGGATCCGATCTTTAGAAGATCTCTAGCGTGTATTGAAAACTAAGGCTTCCGTTTCTCAATAAGAAATATAACCAACGCGATAGGAAATTGATCCTTCTGAATATTTTATGAACGGTTTTTTAGATTACATGCTTTTAAGTATCCTATCTCTGTTACAATATTGTTCGACTTTAATTTTTTAATTCTGTATTTAAGTTGACTTAGAGGCTTAAACAATTTTAAACTAATCGAGCAAATTTGTTAAAAATGCCTTCCGCTCTTTTTCCTCCTCAATGAAGTTCTCGAATTTACCAACGCTTTCATTCTTTAAGATGGCTGGAAGCAAGCAATAACCGGGCGACTGAGGCAACGTTTTAATGACCTACAGATTCCGCATATATCTTGTCAAAACAGTCTACGTGAAAGTATTCTAAATGGGATACAATCTGTTTCGTCCATGGCCTCACTCGGGCCTTCATATGTAAGTGTGTTTTCTTTGCAGGCCTGAGCTACAACAAATAGAGCAAATAATGAAAAGGCATTCTTTGGTACATGCGAATGCGGCTAGATCATGGAAACCCTGGGCCTAAAAATGTGAGAAGCAAATCATTTGCAAGACCAGTAAAACATTGGAGATATGAGGACTACATATTTTCAGATGGCTTTCCTGTAATGCTAGAGTTGGGCTGAATTTACTTTATGGTGAGACTGTGAAGTGAATCAATTCTTAGGTCAATCTTTCCAGAAGATCACGGAGGCGAGTGCCTCGAAGACTGTATTAGCATGACTGCAACTCAAAAGGCGACTGCTCTCGTCTTGTTTCGAAACTGACTTACGGATCTGTTCATCGCACGCCTTCACCCAAAAAGCCAATCAGCTGAACTCCAATTGAGCCTTCGTGATCAGAAAAATTTCAGGGTCTGAAACATTTCCCATAAGGTCTGGCTCTGAGGATACCGATCGACTGTGCCAAAAGGCGAAACTGAGTGCATGTGTTGCTTGGTAGCGACATAATTGAGATGATCTTTGTTGCATTTCATTGTCGAACTGGAAGCCGGAGAATGAACTGGTAGGATTCCATTCCAGTTTGGGGTGCTGATGCGACGAGTTCAAGCGAGGTCGAAATGTTAGTCTAAGCCGAATGAAAGTCCAAGAGGCATTTTCTGGCATCATAAGACCTAGTCAAATAATTGTGATAAAATGTGCTATCAGTCCTTCGTCATCTTAAGCGACTTGGGCTGGCTAGAGCTCTTATTCAAGACCAACTGATAGTCTCAAAGTTCCACTAAAAATAGACACTTGTCGTCGGTCTGCTGCCTCGTTTCGAGCGTGAAAAAAATAGTTATATGTAACCACGCTTGATATACGAGCAGTGCTGTGTATGTGATTATTTCGCCTCGCAACTTGCAAAGTATCAATAAATGAAAACTATCATCACTTTGGCAGAATGGAGTTAGAAGCAGTCGGGCCTCAATGAGTCGTCACATTGAACAGTCGAGCAGACTTGCAGTTCGTGTAGATTTACAAAAGGGATGTGCCCATAGAGGCCGGGCAAACTGCAATGTTGTGTCGGTTTCGATAAAAGCGTGCTGAGCTGAAGCTTCTCATGAAAGGGATGCCAGTTCTGACAGTGTTTTGATCCGACGGACAAAAACGAGGTTTGGTCAATTTATACGAAGAAAAGTTGGGTTTCGATGAATCTCTTGTTTCATTATTGTTGAGCTTACTTCCACTTCGAGTGAAAGTATCGGTTGAAGAGATTCGAAGGTCGGTTTCACCAGAAGACGACGGCAGATTCCTCTTGACCAGCTGTCTATTGGCTTTACTAAAAGATTCATGCGGACTCTGTTTCCGAGGCAATCTTCTTCGATTCCGGTGAAAAGGTGATAAGTTTTCGTCCGTCACATGACGGACATCAACAGAGAGAGGTAACATCTAGACTCGTAAGCTTAAATTTTGTTGTGACAATGTTACCTCGCTCTAATGATGTCCGTCATATGAAGGACAAAAACTTATCACCTTTTCACCGAAATCGAATGAGTTTGCCTCGGAAACAGCGTCAGCATGAATCTTCCAGTAAAGCTAATCGACAGCTGATCAAAAGAAATCCGCCGTCGTCTTCTGGTGGAACCGAACTTCGAATCTCTTCACCCAACACTTCCACTTGAAATGGAAGTAAGCTCAACAATTGGCCAAATTACACTAGGCCATGAAGACAAACTAGGTTTCGAAGAATTTCTCAAAGATATATTGTGAAATAAACTTTCATTTCAAAGGAAAAATTGTTTGGAGAGAATTCGTGATCTGGTCTCACCGAAAAACGAATTATTTTGCCTCCCTGTCCGCTTGCGAAAAATTAGAGTGAGTTGCAGAGAAAGTAGAACATCAGAACAATGTATCGCACGTTCTTCAGTAGTTCCTTCGTTTAGAGCATTTTTTGACTCTCTTTATAGATCAACCTTTCGCAAGATTGTATGCATATGTGGCAAGTTCCGTGCAGGGGAGACCTGTAGACCAATCTGAAAGAAATTAAGCCAACACAAAACCACTTGTAAGGGTGTATGAGTCCAAGAATTTGAGCTCGCCAAACACAGAACACCCAATAAACTGTTCAACTACAAAAGGTGTTGCTGGTTACGGGTAATTCACAGCAAAGCGTAATATCAGAAAGTCTATAGAAATGAACAACAAAACCAACATCCTTAAATGGAGGAAATATTTGTGGTTGTTAGCTAGAAGGCTGGATTGCTCTAGAGTGTAGCTAAGACTATCACTCATCTCATCACATGAACATTACATAAACATAATATAACATAACATTAACACAAACCCAAACAGGAGTCAAAATTTGAGGATAGTGCGCTAGTCTATTTATGCTGCGAAACAGCTCATCCGCACG